CGTTTCACCAGGCAACCCACAAATAACGACATGTACACTTGTAGCATATCTTAAGTAAAAGTCCCATTGCCTGATACAGAGACATGCATATACTTATTGTTTTTTCTAATCCTACATTTCAGTAATAATTGGACTTTTGTACATGATTTACCTGTTTTTNACCTGTTTTCATATGACCAATTTTTGACCTACATGTTTATAAATGACCTACATCCGTGAATTTGAATTGCAGTCTATTCAACTGAATTTTGTTTCCAGTAAGTCGGAAAGTAAGATCGAAATATTTAACCTACGATCACACTTTTAGATAATTTGTCATACGATCTATTTTTCAAATTTGATTTATGATTTAATTGTTTCCTTTATTTTACTTTAATGATTTGGGTAGATGTATAATATGTGAAAACGCAAAAATTGGAAGGGGGATATTTTGTCATAATACTGCCAAAATGTAACTTTGGATAGACGATTTGAATACAAATTACGTAGCTAATCAAGAACATATTAATTCATTTCTTCTATGTATCTCTTTACATGAAGCAACCGAGTCAATGACATTTTTTCATTTACATCATCAATGCAAGGAAATCAATTTTACATACCTTTCACAGTCGCGTAGTAAGCATGTCCAGTTTGTAGTCGAAGTCCATGAAAGGTCACATGATCAACAATACCAACATTTGTTAACTGTACAATGTCAAGTCCGTATGGATGCGTGCCTGTCACGAAAAGGAAGGAAACAGTTATTTTAAGTCCTCGTCAAACAGAAATATCTATTTAATGATAAAAGTGGATTGTGCATTTGAAAACAATCTTTATTCAGACAAATGACAAATGTGATCAAGGTTTCTCAATGTAAAACAATATGTTATCGGTAAAATGTAAAAATGTACAATATTTAAAAATCTTCATAAACTGGTATATTTAATTTTAAATATAAGCATTTAATGAGAAAATATATTGAAAGGTAATACATTTAACTGTAAAATTGACATATTTTGATGTACAGAAAATCAGTTCAATGAAGTTACTTAAAGATCTCACCAACAGACACCCAATACGCTTTAATGCCAGTGAAATGTGGAGTGAATCCAAATTCTTCCACATCGTAAAATGGGTCCCAGTTG